TTCAGAGTAATCCAGGTCAGGTCACTAAATGACAGGCCAGGTAGATCTTTTGGGTCTATCCTGTACTCCCTACTTAGAGATTCAAGGGGATAAGTAATAAGCTATTTGAAGGTAAGAGTCCAGAAATGTTTATTCTAATATTTTAGTTTCTCTGGTTAACTTGAGGTGTTCAAACAAATGGCCTACAAAAGATATATATAAGATTTTACAATTTACTTAATGTGCAAAATATTCATATTTTTAAATACTGATGTTAAATGTTTTTAGAACAGTATTTGAAATACACAAAAATTAATTCAGTCCAAGATAATGCTAATCTTTAAAAGTATGCTTGTACATGGATCTGTACACTAATACTATGTTTAAAAATAGTTTTATAGGTTTTTATGTTATTTATTTATTTTTTTTATTTTTATTTTTATTTTTTTTAAGATGGGGTTTCACCAACATGGCCATGCTGGTCTTGAACCCCTGACCTCAGGTGATCCACCCACCTCGGCCTCCCAAACTGCTAGGATTACAGGTGTGAGCCACCGCACCCAGCCAAGTTTTTATGTTTAAAATGAATCTTGATTTTCTTGCATAATCAACATCCTCCAGCAGTATTCACAGTAACATCAACTATTTTCATGTGAATGATCAGGCAATTTCCATATTGTTATTATTCTTTTCTTGTTACCCATTTCTCCATTGCATCTGGGTATTTTGCTCCTCAGATAAGGAAATGGCCCACTTTCCTCTGGAGGTATCATTTTCTGCTCTTACAGCTCATTCTTATCTCTTTTCCCTCTTTTTTCTCCATCTAAACCTGAATTCGATTTTTTCTATTTTCCTTCATTTCTTCTGAAAATTGCTTTTACTGACTTGCCCTTTACTTATTGTTCTAGGTGGCTTTCCATTTTCCATATCCATGTAAGTAGATTCCATTAGTTCTAAGGCTGCTTTGTCCAAAATGATATCAATTAGCTACATGTGAATATTTACATTTAAATTAATTACAACTAAACAAAATTTAAAATTCTCTTCCTTAGTCTACTGACTACATTTTCAAGTGCTCAACATTCATATGCAGTTACAGGCTACTGCAATGGACAACACAGAAGTTGTATAGGAGTGTGCCACTCTAAGAGTACAGCATTCTCAATTCTGGAATATAGTCCTTATGGCTGCTCCTCTTTTTTTTTTTTTTTTTTTTTTTTGAGACTCGGTCTTGCTCTGATGCCAGGCTGGAGAAGAGTGGTGCAATTTCAGCTCACTGCAACCTCTGCCTTCCAGGTTCCAGCAATTCTCCTGCCTCAACCTCCGGAATAGCTGGGACTACAGGCGTGTGCTACCACATCTAGTTAATTTTTTGTTTTTTTAATAGAGATGAGATTTCACCATGTTGGTCAGGATGGTCTTGATCTCCTGACCTTGTGATCCACCCACCTCAGCCTCCCAAAGTACTGGGATTACAGGCGTGAGCCACGGCATCCAGTCTGGCTGCCCTCTTTTTATAATGCAAGGCTTGGGGGAGTTTATAACCCTATATTATTGCTTTCCCAAGCAGAAGATAGCTCCCTTACTCCAATAAGAAGTACTTCACACTGGTCCTCAATGCTGAAAACACTGTTCTTAAAAACTTATACTTAAAAACATCCTGTATTATGCCTACAGCATAGCCTAGGCAGCTCCCTATAGTAGTAGAAATCTTTATCTTGCCCTAAATGAATAGACCTACCAGGTGACTAACTACTATTCCCTTGCTGGGTTCAATATCACAAATAATACCCAAACCAAACCCAAACAGTTTTGATCTTTATCCCTACAGCTCTAACACCAAAAGCATCTGTAGCATGAAAGCCAAATTTTACTATAGGCATAAAAAGACTCCTAAAATTCTAAGGATCAATATATATAAAATTAATATACAAAAACAGAGTTTGAATGTATGCAGAAAATAGTATGATAAAATGGTTTCTAGGCCAGGAGGAAGAAAGGATTTGTAAGGTGAGAAAACATCACATAACAGGAATAGTCGTAACAGAAATAGTTGGGAGTGGCTTCCTAGTACTACCTGAAATGATGGTGTGCGGCACAAAGGGTAGCCCTCTGGCCTTTCTATTTCCTCTTTTGTGGTGGGAAATAGCAGGGGCTTTTTTAAAAAAAATATATAATCTAATGACATCAAACACTTGAATCATACAACCTAACATCATGGCCACCAACCACTTTCTGATTATACTTGGTGGTAGTATAAGGCTGTATAAATCTTTCAGGAAAAAAACTGTAGTAATGTATTTCAAAAACCTTACAAAAGACCATCCATTAAATAAATTAATTCCTTAACTTGATTAAAGGTAATGCATTTCTTCGTTTCGATTTAGCAAAAAACATACCAAATAATAATAGCAACCACCATTACCACTACCTATGTAGGTTAAAATGCCACATATACAACATAATTACATTTAAATAGATATGACAGATGGCACATACATATATACACACATCACCAAAAAAGGCTGGAAGACCACATATGAAATGTTAACAATGACTGTCACTGGCTTGTATGATTTAAGTACTTCTTCAGTTGTTTTGCTTCTCTATTTTCTATATTGGGTATAGAATGAATATATCATTATCTCTCAATAAAAACAGACAGGAAAGGAAAAATCCAATTTAGAGTACTTCTCTTTTAAGCATATATTTTTTGGCCTTACGTTATTCATAAGGTACCCTTAGTAATAAAAGTATGTGATTAGGCATGATGGATCATGTCTGTAATCCCAGCATTTGGGGAGGATGAGGCAACATGATCACTTGAGCCCGGGAGTGTGAGACCACTGTCTCTACAAAAATTAGCCACTCGTTGTGGTGTACACCTATGCTCCCAGCTACTTGGGAGGCTGAGGCAGGAGGATCACTTGAGCCCAGGAGATCAAGGCTGCAGTGAACCATAATTACACCATCGCACCCTAGCCTGGATGACAGAAAAAATCTTGTCTCAAAATAAATAAATTAATTAAATAATTTAAAAAATACAAGTATGTTTCTATGGATTATCACAGTGGACTGCCAAGTCTTCTAACATCCAGTGCAAACCTGGGCACCTGTGTTTTCTCTCTCAGGGAAGTAAGTCCTTATTATGATCTCTCACTAAGATTAAGCCTCTGTCCTCCCTTCCCAGAGCTATGATCCTTTTCTCTTCTCTATTCCTTCTAGCCCCGTCACCTCCTGCAACCGTTCAAAACAAAAATAACTAAAATAAGACTGCTGCATACAAGTTGTGTAAACATTTGCACAAGTCACTTCTTAGTCTTAGCTTCTTCACATGCAGAAAGAGTGAGCTTACTATTATTTAAGCACATTGGAGGTTGATAAAGCATCTTGAGGGATGCAACTGTTACCTTCTTTATATTTACACATTCAAATTAATATGGTGCCTGGCATGACGTAGGCACATAGATACCTGCTGAATGACTAAGTGAATATCTGCTTTTCATCCTTTCTCCTGTTCTATTATTGTGCTTCTTCCTCTTATTTCCTGTTGATTCTCTACCTCAGAGATATCTGCAGCCATGAAGTGATACCAAAGTCCCGTTGGACAAATCTATGAATTAAATTTCAGCTAGATTCAATACATTCAAATTTTTGCTCTGCTGCTCTTGGCGGCAAACCACTCTCCTTCCAAGGCTCTTTAATGTACTTTTGGGGAAAAGAACCTAGGACTTCTATTAAACAACTGTCTGCAAACAGATGAGTTTCCACAACCTTTTACATTAAAAAATATTACGTCATCTTTGTTGGTGTCTTTTGCTTTTTAAGATTCCAACACAACCTTCACTTTCTTCATCAAGCTCCTTGATTCTTTCAACCAGACTTTCCCATATCCTTTGAACCTTATAGACTTTCACAGTACTTTAACTATATCAGTGCATTGCCAGTTTCTTTAAGAAGTACTTATAAACAGAGGAATCCTTATTTGTCTGTGTATTTCCTTCCCTAATTCCCCACCTCTAATTTGAAAGCGAAATATCTGGGATGAGAAAGGATCACCAAACTTTTGTTGACAAATTAATTCCTATCACCATATCTTATACAGAGCACACAAAAAACTACTTGCTAGATGAAAAGAAACAAAACTCTTCTACAAACTTTAAAGGCTTATGGCTAAACTTTATAAACTAATTTGCTGATTACATTAGCCATTATATTTCCCTTTTCTTTTGTGTTACTAAATTCCACTGTTAAATATAAGGCAAAAGAAGTGGCAAAGCTGACTTGCTAGGCAATCTCTTAACAAAACAAGAAATGTCTATTACTTGGCCCCAAACAATAGGAGAATGATGACTAATGTTCATATGGTAATTCTCTGGTCACACACATCCTGAACTGAGTTCTGAAGAACTCAGATTAAATGATAGAGTATTTTTAGCACTAACCATGTTTTGAGATATAACATTTTTGTAAAACAAACGTGGAATATGTATTTACTTTCTATTTAAAAGAAACCATTGCCTAATTCTGCGTAAACATAACTTTTATTTGTCTATATCTTTGTGCCTTTATATTTCCTAATACCCTCAACATTTGAGTAATTATAATAAACATATTTGAAAAGTTTTAACAAAAAAGGAATATGCTACATCATATATTTTCAAAGTGTCATATGCTGCTAAAGTGGAATGATTGCATACTGGACTGTTGTTTCCTTTAAGGAATGTGGAACTACTCTCTTATAAATACATGCAATAAGAGGAGAGTAGACACGCAAATAAAATGAACTACAGTATGCAGAATGGAAAAGCTATTAAATGCACATTCACTTACGTAAGACACACAAGAGAAGCTTTAGGAAAGCACATAAACACCTAAGAGACAAGCAAAAATAAATTACCTACAAAAAAATTAACAGCCATGGCAGATTCAAAATCATGAGAGATTACTGTAAAAAGAGGGAAATAAAACATCAAAATAGCAAATGACAGGAGAGGAGGCTAAGAGCACATGTTACTTACAGGAATTCGTCTCCAAGGTGTTTGGGTATATTTATCAGCATAGGTGCATTTTTCCTCTTTACATTTTTGGTGGCAGTTATACTGAGTTGCCTAAACAAAAATACAAATTTTTACATTGGTTTAATTCTGCATATACATACCAAAGAGGTAATCAGGGCTCTTTTAGTGGGTATATAATCAAGTCAACAAAAAAGTCACACATGGTAAAATAGTTCTGGCTACGTTTTTGAAGGAAAAATGTTATCAACAGCAAACATTAAGGTCTATTCAGTAGCCTCTCATTCAGGGATTGGGTTTGAGAGTCAGCCTATAAGGTTAGAATTTTGAATAATCTAAATTACCCTGGGCAATCTCTTACATTATCCATAAAAATGCAATACATGATTTTATGTATATCAATATATAGAGCTAAGTATATGGATGTAGAATACATAGGGATATTCAGTACATAAAGAATACAACTGCAAAGTTTACAGTATTTCCCTAAACTGTCATGGTACTACAGTCACTAAAGCTCAGTTTCTGAAATAAATGCATTTTTTAATGGGACTCTTCTCGACAATGAATACCACCAGTCCACTTGTCAGGATGTCTGTTCTCACGTGCAGTGTGGTGAAGCCTCTTTTATGATGTGTTGACTTTACTAGACTAAAATATTTTGAAGAGTGTCAGCCCTTTGACAAGATCCATCTGACCATTTCTGTTCACAAATGAATTCTCCACACATGATTCCATTCAAAGCACACTCATTTATATAACACAAAGTAACTTTCTCAAATAATTATCAATTTCAAAAAAGATTATGAAACACACTGATAAAGAAAATTCCCCTTAGTGCAAAGCTAGAAAATAACCATATTATTTGTTAAACAACCTCAATGGAGGTAGATATACTTTCTCATAGGAAACTAAAAAATTCTTGATTATTACATCAGGTTAAAATGGTAAATTTCTACTTTCATAATATTTATCCATATTTGAAATTTTTCTTAATTGCATCAGATCATTCCAATTTCTTTATGCCAAATAAAATCTAAAAACAAAAATGTCTATCATAGAGACATATTTCCCATTCCTAAGAAATGAGACTGTCACTGAAACAAAATTCAATATAGGCTGGGTGCAGTGGCTCACACCTGTACTCCCAGTACTTTGGGAGGCTCAGGTTGGCTGGTCAACATGGCAAAACCCTGTCTCTACAAAAAACACAAACAGAAACAGCTAGGCATGGCAGCACATGCCTGTAGTCCCAGCTACCTGGAAGGTTGAATGGGAGGATCACCTGAGCTCAGAAGGCTGAGGCCGTAGTGTGCTGAGACTACACCACTGTACTCCAGCCTGGGTGACAGAGTGAGACTCTTAACTCCAAAAAAAAAAATCCCCTAAATTCAATATATAATCAAGTCAACTTAGAGTCTCTTGAAATTCACTGTAATAGGATAAACTTTTAACATATATGAGGGGTATACAAGGAACAGAAAAGATAATTTGAAAACACTACCATAATAAAAGCACTTTACTTATTCCATGCTACTGCAATTCCAGAAATTCAGGTGCTCCTTACGATGGGGTTACATCTGAATAAACTCATATTTTTGAAATTGCACTTTTGACTTACGATTATTTTCAACGTATGATAGGTTTATCAGGATATAAGTCCTCTTAAGTTGACAAGCTTACTGAATGAGTATCACTTTTGTACCATCATATAATTTAAAAAGTCCTAAGTAGGAGACTGTAATTTATTTTCTGTGCTCTATATGCTAACATATGAAAAATAATATTTGGCAAATGCATGAGTTTTCCAAAATTTGAAAAGTCTAGTTTCTAGTGACATGTCAATATATATAAAATGACTACCCAAATCATTTTCTCACCATCTGCCTTCTTTATTACTAACAGACTGTACAGATGTACAGCTTCTATTTGGTCCCATACTTGGGAAAATGTGTCTTCATCTCTAACCCCAAGGAGATAGATCTTAATTAGTCTGAACCAATGTGATTAATACCATTCCTCTATGCTTAGGAAGGGACAAGTAACTCAAATCTAGCCAATAAAACAGAAAAGTCTGGGGTATTTCTGAGAAAGGGTTCATTAATTTTAAAAACAGACAAACACTGGAGATAACAGACTCTTAACCTATCCTTGGGTGTTATCATGTGAGAATGTGACACGCACAGCAACAGACATCTTGTGACATGAATGGACTGCCAAGAAGATTTCAAAAAAGCTGATCTGGAACTTAATCAGTAGCCAAATAACCAATAAGCAACCACAGAAATCGATGGCACCTATATAATTTCTTGTTGAGTTTACAACTGTTCTTTAAAAAAAAAAAAAAAAAAAAACAAAACCTTTAGTTAGAGACTTTTACTTTGAACTTAAAACATTATAAGATATGCACAGATTTACACTGTGCGATTTAATGCCTATATAAGAGTTACTATTCATCATGTATCCATGGACCAGGTATTAGGTAGTTTACATATGTAGTTTTATCACAACATAATTATCATAACCCTGTATGGTCAGTACTATTTTTTTTTTTTTTAAGATGGAGTCTTGCTATATCACCTAGGCTGGAGTACAGCAACACGCAATCTTGGCTCACTTACAACCTCAGCCTTCTCCCAGGTTCAAGTGATTCTCCTGTCTCAGTTTCCCAAGTAGCTGAAAATACAGGTGTGTGCCCTCATGCCCAGCTAATTTTTGTATTTTTAGTAGAGATAGGGTTTCACCCTGTTGGCTGGGCTGGTCTCAAACTCCTGACCTCAGGTGATCTGCTTGCCTTGGCCTCCCAAAGTGCTGAAATTACAGGTGTGAGCCACCATGCCCAGCCCAGTACAACTTTTATTATCCTCATTTACAGACGGGGCTTAGGAGAGATTGTAGGACTCCCTTAAGAGAGAACGTGGCTCTTAAGTTTCAAAGTCAGGATCTGAACCCAGGTCTGTCTCGGTTTTTCAAGTATACTATATTGCTAGCCCACTTAACCTGAGTTCTACTGTCTATGTGTCTCCATACAGGAAACTCTATACTAGCAATTTCCCAAGATTATTCTGAAGATTCCCTAAGAAATGTATCTGAACTATTATTTAACTATTATATTATGGTAAAGATAAATGGGCATTCTTAGCATTTTTGAATAAGATTTGAATAGTTAAACCTCTATATCCTGATTTTATATTGTCAATGTATTTTTATGAAAGTTTGCATCCAAACCTAGGTTGGAGTTGAATGTCTATTTTTAAAAAAGATAAAAAAGGACAGAAGGCTAGAACTGAACGGGAACTTGGAAACCACCTAGAAAAACTCCCAGACTTTGGATAAAGCACTATAGAGAGGTGACGGAAACTGACAGTGCCATTCAGCTAATGAATACTAGAGACAAGTCCTTTAATTTCCAGTCTATAATTCTTCTGATTTTTTCTATTTTAAGAAGTATAGTTTAGGGACGTAAAAAAAATAAATTTAAATTAGGTGATTTTAATTTGATAATGTGAAAAATGCTGTTAGTTATCTTTGTTTTCAAATGGCTTGTATCTGTTAAAAAACTCCCTTAGTTTGAACAAGTCACTTTCTTGAGGTCTATAACTAAACTTTATGCTATTAAAATCTTTGAATGATCTCTATTTTCTACTATAAAAAGGATGCTTGGCTACCTAAAACTGAGGCATTCACTTTACAGAGATCACTGCTTGCAATGAGTACCAGTGAATCTTCTCCAATTCTCTAAATTTATGTTGAGAAAAACCACACTAACGTTAGTCTTTACACTAACTATAAAGAAAATTTCACAAAGCTCCCTTGGCACAAAGAAACAGCTCCTCCACAGTTTGTAAACGTACTAATGAGATTGTGATATGTTTACAGAGGAAATTTCTAGCTGAATGAACCACAGCCTCCCAAGCAATCCATAGAAAAACAATGCACAGCACCTAGAAAAACAAGTGACAGGCTCTTTTATGACAAATATGATTTCTAGGTTTAATATATTGAGTATAGAGAATTTCAAGGTACATACTGATAAAGATAAATGTTTTCACTTTTCTGTCTTTAGACGGCTCTTCAATATTTCTTAAATCTTTCTAAAAATTATTTTCAAGATGAGATATTGTTTAGGAAAACTGGCACAGTCTCTTCAACAGATCAATTAAAAAAAAAAAAAGAATGGTTCTAAATTAAAAGAGACTTAAGGGACATATACAGGTGTGCATAGCCCTAGACTGAATTCCAGTTTAGGCAAAATCAAAAGTACAGGATGTTTTTGGAACAACTGAGAAAATCTTAGTATTAGAAGACGTTAAGAAATTTGAGCTATGAAGACACCTGTTCTTATTTTTTTTTAAAGATACATTCTGAGGTTAAAAGAACACTTCATAAAAACTTTGCAGCATAAAAAGATTCATCTTTCATTATTTATCCTATGTCCACATAAAGTAAATAAAGTAACCTTTTTACAAATCTTTTTTTCTATGCTTTAAGTTCTGGGGTACATGTGCAGATCATGCATGTTTGTTACATAGGTATACACGTGCCATGGTGGTTTGTGGAATCCATCATCCCGTCATCTACACTAGGTATTTCTCCTAATGCTATCCCTCCCCTAGGCCCCACCCCCATCCATCCCCTGACAGGGCCTACTGTGTGATGTTCCCCTCCCTATGTCCATGTGTTCTCATTTTCCAACACCCATTTATGAGTAAAACATTTTTCAACACCCATTTACGAGTGAAAACCTGTGGTGTTTGGTCTTCTGTTCTTGTATCAGTTTGCTGAATGATGGTTTCCAGCTTTATCTATGTCCCTGCAAAGGACATGAACTAATCCTTTTTTATTGCTGCATAGGGTTCCATGGTATCCATGTGTCACATTTTCTTTATCCAGTCATTCACTGATGGGCATTTGGGTTGGTTCTAAGTCTTTGTTATTGTGAACAGTGCCACAATAAACATATGTGTGTACACGTGTCTTTATAACAATGATTTATAATCCTTTGGGTATATACCCAGTAATGGGATTGCTGGGTTAAATGGTATTTCTAGTTGTAGATCCTTGAGAAATTGCCACACCGTCTTCCACAATTG